GAGGTGAATGGGGCGAACAACCATCTCGAACTTTACGATTGGTGTTGCACTCTGCGAGAAGATTGACCACATGACGCTATGCTGCACAAGCTCGTGAACAATCACGAGCATATCTTGAAGGAGCATTTCGTACCTAAGAAGCAGATCATCGAACCGCTGCGTCGTGGAGGGGACGATGACGGGGAGCTTCGATTCTGGAAGGGGTTTGGACCTCGACCTCGAAAAAGGCGCGGGCGGGGTCGCGGGGGGCGCCGCGGGCGCGGGCGAGGTAGGGCCGCAGCTCGAGGCCGAGGTGGCCGAGGCCGCGGGCGAGGACATGCGGGAGGGGGCGTTGACGAGGACCTCGGGTAGAGAGGGGGAGGGGGCTGCTCGTTCGAAGCCCCCCCCCCCTCCCCCCCTGGGAACGGGTCGCGGCGGAGGAGCGTTCATTGGAGGGGGGGAGGGGGGGGGAGGGGGGGGCATTTTTTTTTTGCAGTTGCGTGTGCGGGGGGGGGGGGGGGGAGGGCGGCGGTTTTGGGCGGGCCCGAGGTGCCCCCGAGCATTGGGTTTTAGGGCGCCGAGATCGCCAAACACAAATGCGTGGAAAAGGTTTGGTGACCCCCACCTGTGCGATGTTCTAGCTCTTCGTTGAAATATGTTTCTGGGTTGTTCTCGATTGGGTTGGCTGTCTCTTGCAGCGTGGGCCCAATCAGCTGCACGAGGGCCCGATGCGACTTCTACCGCGCCATGCGGGTGTGAGCTCCACAGCTCATTGAAATCAAGTCTCACAGCTAGGCCCGTCACAAGGTTCCATAAGCGTAGGTCCCACTGGTGGCCCCATCGGGTTCCACAGAAGGGTCCATAGGCTACACCAGCGCGCCTTTATAGCACCTGCCCATGTGGTGTCTCCCTTCTCCTTTCGAATTCTCCAAGAGGGGTCGAGCGACCATGGCGAGGGGGCTAAGCCCCGACGCTGATACTGGACACGGCGGCGACCCTGAACTTGCCGCCGATGATGGCGGAGAGGTATCAGTGGGACAGGGCAGCGAGCAGGCTGCCATGAGCGACGATGAGGTCAAGGCCGTGACGCTCGAAGAGGCGATCGACATTGCCCCGGGTGGTCACGACGAGGACGAGCCCCTTTGGGGCGACATGGCCTTCGACGACGTCGCCATGCACATCGGCATTCCTGAGGAACGACCTGATGATGCAGCTGGCGCCGACGTCGCTCCTCACGGAGAAGGGGATGGCTGTGATGACCTTCGTGCTCCTGAGGAGATGCTTGAGGCTGTCGGTCGTGGATTTGCAGCTGGCGTACCTCTGCCTGCTGAAGCGCCTGATGTACCAGGCGCTGGCGCGGAGGCCCACGCTCCGCCGCCTGCCGATGACCCGCCACATCCCCCACCTCCTCCTCCACCTCCTCCCCCTCGTCCAGACTGGGTGCCACCTTTAGTGCACGGTGGGTCTCGGACCTTTTGGTTTCGAGATAGTCGCATTTCTGCGCGCTACAATGCGCTTAGAAAGAACATTTTTGTCGAAGTCAAGTGCCCTGATAAAGCGCACGGGCGGCGCGTGCTCACTAAGATGTCCGATCCGAGCAATCTGCCAGGTCGTGAAGGCCAGGGCCGTTGCCTTGGCGTCGTTGGGGCATTCATTCTTTCTGCGACTGAGGCAGGCGTTGATTGCAAAGCTGCGCATGTGGCGATGGCGCCTGCTTTTCTCGTGCAAGGCGCCTGCTAGGACGCAGCGCATTGCGCGACGACGGAGGCCTGGCTGGGCTGTTTGAATGCGAACGGCCACGGCACACAGGTGAGGAGTCAGAGCCTGAGTTTGCGCTCCACTGAGGCACGCAAAGCTGGTGCAAATCATGAGCATTCGAATTCTAGGTCTTCAGTTTTTCGTCCTGCACACGTTTTCCTGTTCGTCGTCCTCCCACTTCCCCTTGCGCTGACAGTGCCCCTCTTCTACTCCTCGCCCCTGCTTCGGGCCCCACTCCTCTCCCAGCCCAGTTCTGATGTTGCCGTGGGCAATAGTGCGAGGCCCCAGGTGTCACAGCATGGTTCGACTTTGGGCCCGCTGTGCCAGTTATATTACGATAGTACATTGGATGTTGTTAATCACTGAAGAGCCTCAGGAGGCCCCAAGAGGGCTCCAGGAGGCCCCCACCCCAATTTTGACATTATCGAAAATCCCATGGGGCCCAATCGACCGCGAGGCAGGGCAAGGCCAGCCGCGTCTCAGAAACCACCTCTGGGATCTCCGGGCGCTCTGGGCCAGACTCTGAAACCACCTCTTGAGGCATCGGCCGCTTTCGATTCACTTTCTGTGGGCTCCTGAATCACGCTCTGGTGGTCAACCAGGGCTACCGCAGATGGCCACGACTCGCTCTTGAACCTCCTCTTGTGCGTGAATCACCGAAACGGGCAATTTTCAACAGTCCTCTCGTTCATTGCCTCGAACCTGAATCACCCCGCGGTGCAATTTTCAAAAGTCCTCTCGTAGTCGTTCAATACCAATGAATCAGCGCCTGGGAAGTTTTTTGTCTCACCTCTTGAACCACCTCTCGGTCAAGGCCCCAGGTTCCGAGTCCGCTCTTGCACCTCATCAGGTTCTGAAACCAGTGCTTTCCAAAATCCCGAGGGACCTACAGGAAACCAAGACAACGCGGCCGAGACAGAGCTGGAGAGGTTCAAGGTCTTCTCGGAGACCTTCGGGGAGGCAGCGCGCGAGACGCCCAAGGTCCCGGAGGCGTCCAACGCGCCGCGCCGACCCCGCGCGGTCGGTCTCAGAGCGCGGGTTCCCTTTCCGCCAAGCGCCTGGCCGCGTGCTCTAAGCACCCCCCCCCTCCACCGCCTTTCAGGGGGCGTCCGAAAAACCGACCGCCAGGTGGAGGAGGAACGAGGATATGGAAGCGAGGCTCGGCCGCGTGCCCGAAGCACCCCCCCCTCTTCCTTTTCGTTCAGGGCGCCAGCTTTTTGAGATATCGGAAACATGCATCGGGTGGGGGGGGGGGCCCACGCAGCTGCGGGCGAAGTAGTGGTTGGTAGGCCATGGGGCCCTGCAAACAGGAGCTGAAGAAATAACATAACGCCCAAGCCAAACCCTACGTAACCATAGCACCCCCAGGGCCCAATCCACATTGGCCCAAGAAGCCCCATGGCGATCCACATGCGCCCTTTCATGAGGTCTCTTTGGGGCCCCATGGGGCTCCATTCGCTGGTAGAAAAAAAGAGAGAGAACCAAATAATACATATATATATAACCTCATGGCATCTTCAGGTCATTGGGGCCTCAGACGAGCAATCTCACTAGAGGCCCAATGGTCAAATGCTCAATTGGCTCCAGGGGGGCACGTGCCACCCTGGGTGACCCGATCCAACCATGCGCTGAAATGTTGGATCCTCTCATTCCTGCGCGACTGATCCGGCACCGATTTGATTGGCCCAAGTGGTGTATCACCAGGGTGTTGGGGAACACCTTGTGGATATCAAAGTTTCTTGGCCGGCCATGAAGGGCGCTCCTCCTAGTCACAGTCGGCGCATCGGGGAGACCTTCAAGTGCGAGTGGAGGACGGTCCGATCTTCTGGTAGGCGAGCCGCGCTATCGTGCACAGCATTGTGATCGACGGCAGCGACGACGGCTACATCGCATCCGACAAGTCCAGCTGCCCCAAGGAGAAGGTCGACCCGTGGGAGATCCCAGATCCAGAGAAAGTCGCGACGCCGCCCAAGCCGAAGCCTCCTGGCTGGATTCCAAATCAGGGCCGCTGTTGTCATGCAGATGGTCCATCGACAGAGTGAGCCGAAGGGCCATGTGCGTGCCACCACCGGCCCTCTCGGCAACGTCTCATAAAGCGACCGCGCAGAGTGTGGCTTCCGAAATTGAAGGGACGCAGCCCCGCCAAGTAGATAGATGTTGCAGCCTGACTTTTTGGCGTCGCGCCCCTGTGCGATGAACTCGCTGTTCGGGGGGCGAAATGCTTTCGAGGCTGTGCCGTTTCACATCTGGGGGATGGGGGTGGGGCTGGTAGAGCCACTGGAAACCTTCATTGAACCTAACCGCGTGTAGTCTACCTCACTGCATCCCTCCTCTCTGTTGGGGTCCCCAAGCGTTCGCAGGTCGGACAATTCCAGTGTCTGCGCGGGAAGGGGGGGCATGGGTGGCAATCCGACGTGTCCTGGGGCGCCCAAGAAGCTGGCAACAAGTATATCCCGGCTTTTTTTTCGAGGGGAGGGGGGTGGGGGGTGGGCGCCGACCCACTGCGTGGTGACGCTTTGATTTGGATCCGTTCCTCAGCTGATGTTGGCTCTAAGGCTGGAAGGCTTTATGATCGAGACTTCTGCCCAGCAAGGAGCCAAGACCACCTTGCGTTTTCCAACAATTGGTGGCAAGAAGGGGCAGAAGGAGCCCAAGGCGGACCAGAAAGCGCAGACCGATCCGTCTCAGCAACGGCCTCTCGGCGATCGCCTCTGCTTCTGCGCCAAGCGCCGCATTTGCTCCAAGGACAATGTTTGAGTAAACATCCCCGACCCCCGAACCTATCCATCCCCATCCATGCCAATCGCTGAACCCCCGTTACAACCCTTGGCTCAGGGAGGACCACGCATGTACATTTGCATACGCAGGAACGTATACAGCACGCATCAAGCACTCTTGCACGATACGCGGCGAAAGGTGTACATTCGCACCCGCATAAATGTGACCTCAGGGCCTCCAGGACCCCTTGGATCTCAGGTTTTACTCATGAGCTCCGGGAGGGAGCGAGGAGCTAGAAAAGAAGGGAACGACACAGTGAGAAGATAGGCCGTGCTCAGACGCACGATGAGGCAATGAGGACTTTGAGAGGTGAGAGAGGCAGGGGGGAAGGAGGGTGGGTAGGAGGGGTGCGAGTTTTTTTTTTGATAGATGCGATGCCAAATCTTACTTGAGCCAACGACAAGGTTTCGCACCGATGTGAACCCTAGGAGGGGGGGGGGGGGGGGGGGGCAGCTTGCTGGGGAGAGTATGTCCGACCCCCCAAGGACCGCCCCTTCAAGATCCAGTCTCTCGACCCGCGCGGGTCGCAGAATGCGTGCGAGGAAATCTACAAGCAGAAGGAGGTCCTCTCCCCGTGGACGACCTGGCAACAGTTCCTCGACTTGGGCAAGGACGTACCTGACTTCCACCATGTGCGCGATAAGGCCATGGAGGTGGCAGCTGGCAAACGGAAGAGGGAGACGATGGAGCAGGGCGTCAGCAAGGTCGCCCACGTCGGTTGCCGCATCGAGCAGGAGGCCGAGCTTGCGACCGAACAGGTGATCAAGTGGCGTTGCAGCGGGGTCACTCCGAAGTGTCTCGGGATGAACCCTGTGGAGCTCCTGGGCAAGAACGGTATTGAGGTTGCGCCCGGTTGCCCTGTGGCCGTCGAGGGGGCGCCGCAGAAGATTTACTTCTACGCCGACATCGCCGTGAAGAGGGGTATTCCAGTGATGGATTCGCGTGAGAACGCGAACGACGTGCAGATCGCGCCGAACGTCAAGCGGGCCTTCGACATCGATGACTTCGGAGGCGGCAACATGCGAATGCCGAGTGGTTTGAAGACGTGAAATCCGCTTGAAATACGCAGCAGGACCATCAGGCAGAAGCGCGACGAGCTGACTAATAAGAGGTCTACTGAGAAAGGCAAGTCAACTAAAAAAGGTGATGGTGACGACGCGAGCTTCCATGGCGACGGTTCTGATTATGAAGGCTGCGAAGGGTCTCCTGGAGCTGCTGCTTCGACCGCGGCTCCGCCAAGCACCCCTGGCTCCCAGCGGGATTCTTCTCGATTGAGTGATCAGCCGAAGTCCGTATCGAAGGCGTCCGCATCGGGTTCGAAAGACCGACTGCCGTCGCCAAGTCTTCCTGCCCTATGGGATGAACTTGCTGCGATCAAGGCCAGAGAGAAGGATGGCACTTTGAAGAAGATGGCTGGAGGCTACTACGTCAAGACCCCGAAGTACTGGATAAAAGCCCTCGACTTGGCGCAGGGCGCAGGTGGCAACACCGTGTCCAAGGAGGTCGGCCAGGCCAAGCTTTGCCGCGCAAGGGAGGGCAAAACCACGGATGCCGACAGGCTTGAGAAGCACATCGATTTGTTCAACAACAGCCTGAAGCTTTCACCGTCGCAAGCCCATCTCATGTCCGACGGCGCGCTGAGGACCCTGATCGACAAGCTGGAGCAAGTCAGACCGCAACCAGTGCGGCTGCCCGAGACGAAGCAGGGTCTAACATTGAGGAAGTTCCAGTCTTTGCCTGACTTGACGCTGCGGCTCTCCTCAAACAGCGATCCCACGTGGACCGAGCTCGTCTGCGTACTCGACCCGATCGGCAACAACAAGAAGCACACCGTCGACATGCTCAACCCGTCGTACCACGCGATCGCGAAGCAAGTTGGGAAGACGGCTTACTACGACTTCGCAAAGGAGGAGTACCTCGGTGAGGCCATCATCAAGCTCATGTGCATGAACAGCGCTGAGGGGGATCGTAGGCTCAGGGAGGTGGGCGTCGAAGCGAAGAAGGTGTTCAGTTTGCCAGAGGACTTGCAGCTGGAGGACTGGGTGGTGGACTTCAGTATCCAGGTGTCTCTTCTTCATGAATGTGTGGACTTCATCGTGGATTCGTACGCTGTCGGTGCCGACGTCGAGGGCCCTCGGCGCCTTCTTCAACAGATCCAGTCGTCAGCTGCTAACGCTCTGGCCGACGACTTCTTCTCCGTGATCGCGCCGTCGCTGGCCAATTGTCATCGCGCGCAGACCTTGCCCGCAGAATACGTCAAGCCGAACGCGAAGTACGACGAGCACTACCAGGAGGCGAAGGCCATGCTGAACAAGATGGAGCCCGCAGCGAAGAATGGCGAGCGCGAGACGCCTTCAGCGTTGACGAACGTCTGCGCCAAGCTGTTGGGCTGGGAGCAGTGCATGCCCAAGGGCTCCTGCAGTCGGGCCAGGGACTTGCTCTGGACGCGGGTGATGAGCACCTATCAGGCCCAGGCTGGCCACAGCGAGGAGTCGAACCCAGAAGTGTCCAGGGCGATCATATCGGATCGCATGACTACGAACATTGAGCTGAAGGAGTTGCTTACATTGCCAGGGAAGTGTTCGTTGATAAGGTCGATCTGAGGGGCTACATCGAGAGGTTGAACCGCGCTATCGGCTCATTCGATCAGGGGAAGAGGGTAACAGATATCAGCGACATGTGCATCGAGTACCAGACCACGAAGGACATCAAGACGTTGGTCAGGCTGGAGAACGTGCTGGGCCAGCTCCAGGAAGGGGGGGCCCTTCCCCAGGCAGCCCTCGTCTCCATCCCGAATGCGGTCAAGCACGCTCCGCAGCACATGATCGAGGCGGCCAAGAGGGACAGCGAGCAAGCCCCAGGAGAGTCTTCAGACACGGATGGCAAGTACGTCGATGCGGTCTACCTCATCACGAGCGCTGTCGGACGGATGGTCCCGTTCCTCAAGGCGAGCACGGAGCAGATCATGATCAAGCGTGGCAAGTGCGCCGAGGGCAGTGTGGCTACAGCAAAGAACTTCGCCAACATGATGGAGGTGACCAAGTGCGTGATGGCGATGGGCCCAGGCGCGGATGCACGGTCCAAGTCAGAGCAGTGCATGCCTCGCTTGCTGGAGCTCGGTCGGGTCCTGACCTCCTTCGAGAGTGCGATCCAGACGTGGAAGGGGGGCGGAGGAGACCCGAACTTCGGTCGCAGCGAGTGCGAGCGCTCCGTGCAGACCATGCAGGAGGTCGCCACGGCGTTCATCACGAACCTGAAGGATAATAGCCTCAATGCCTTGCAGGACGCGGAGAATATCTACGGCATGAAGGGCTCGACGGCACCGACTTGGCACGATGGCCTGAGTGCCGACGTGAAGTGGGCGCAGCTGCTCGAGACGAAGCAGGCTCGCGACTTCCACGCGAACGTGCACCTGGACGTACTGAAGGCCAAGTGCCAGGAGGTGGGCCAGGTCTTGCGCCAGCACGACGACATGTTCGCGTCCGTGAAGATGTTCGCCCTCAAATGGGACGAGATGATGCAGCTGCGCGCGGACCTGAGCGCGCTGTACACGGAGCTCCTCAGCCTGGACAAGGCCGGCAATTTGAGCATCCAGAAGGCAGAGCTCCGCAGGCACGCGATGGCTGCCAAGGCGCTCTGCCGGGACATGGGCGGCGAGCAGGCCGCGAAGGCGGTCTTCGCGCCCATCGCCATGAGGATGAAGCTCGCGCTTCAGGGCAGGGCCTAGGCTTGCGGCTCTCTTCGCAGAGCGCACTGGGCCTGCAACGGAGGAGAAGGAGGAAGAGGAGGAGGAGGACGGGGGAGAAATATGAGGAGCAACAGCAGCGAAGAACCCAGGAGGCAGCAGAGCTCCAGTGCGCCCTTCCTTTTTTGGGGGGCCGCAGCCGCAATAATAACTCGAGCGAGGAGGAGAACGAGGAGAAGGATGAGGATGAGGATGAGGAGCAGGAGGCGGAGCAGGAGGAGGAGGGGTGGGAGGAGGGATGGGGTCAGGAAGCGAGCGAGGAGTAAGGAGCCACGAATACTGAGTCACAAGGTCTGCGGTGCCCCGCGCGTTCGCCCGCGGCCGACCTGGCCGCGATCTCCCGTGGCCGACCTGGCTCTGACCAGGGCCGCGGCCGTGATTATCCTCGTCCTGTCTCCGTTCATGCCCATCCTATTTTGTTGTTCTGGATCCTGGGCCCTCCTGTGCTCATCCTGATTTTGTTCTGGATCCTGGGCCCTCGATCTTGGAAGCTCGGCCTTCGATAAGAAGGGGGGCGAAGCGTGTTAGGAAGAGGCAGAGTAATGATGGGAGGAGCCGTGTGGTGTTTAGTGGAAGGACCGCGTGGAGCTGGAGTAAACGTGCTGAGGGAAATGAGGAAAGGGGAGCAGGGGGAGGAACATGGGCAGGGATGCGAGGGCATGCAATGGCAGGGGAAGGTGAAAAAGGAGGGCACAAGGACGACGAAGAGGACCGTCTGGACCGTTAGCATTCCCCCACCCTGGTCAAACCTCATCTCCCCGGACCTGGTTCCCGTGGCCTCTCGAGGGGGGCGAACGAACGGTGGGCTCGTCACAGCCCCCGACGCGCGCAGCCCCCGACGCGGGGATAGGGCTCGGCGCAGCCCCCGACGCAGTGTATAGGAGGACGGTGGGCTCGGCACAGCCCCGCCCGCGTTTTTCGTCGCACTTCTTCTCTGATCTTCCAGCTCCGTTCCGTCTCCTTCGGCGTCCTCCTCCTCCTCCTCCTCCTCCTCTTCCTCCTCCTCCCCGTGCTCCTCCTGATGGTTTTCCTCCCTACTCATCCTCGTGTGCCTCCTTGTGCACTTGCCGCGCCCTGCCGTGCACTTCGAGTCCTCGTCCTCGGAGTGTTCCTACTTCTCTCCTTCTCGGTTCATCCTCCTCGTCATGATTCGTCTCCTCGTATCGCTTCTATACAATCCTCCTCCTATGCTCCACCTCGTACTCCTCCTCGCAAGTACTGTGACGCCTCGGGCGTCATCTAGCAATGAATGCCCGATCCCCCAACGGCCCCCCAAAAGGTGAAAACGTAGGAGTTTCAGAGACAACGAAAAAAACGCTACCCTGGGATGGTTCAGGGGACTTCTGGGCGACCCCACCTTGCGGCCTCCTGTAGAGGGACGTGCAAGTCGCAACCCTTGACCCGACCCCCCCCTCGCGCCCCCCTCCAGGTTTTTCAGAGCTGGGGAGGGGGGCATGCTTCTCCGGGGTGGCGGCGCGAGGGGGTTCGAGGGCGGGCGCGCCTCGCGGCGGCGCGGGCCGCGCAGCTGGGCAACCGCGCACCAAGCAGCGGCGATGCGCCCTCGCTCGCTTGTAGGCCAAAGAATGTTACGTAGCACCCCGCAAGTGCGGATAAGAGTGAGGGGGCGGGCGCGGGCGACGCGGGCGTCGTCGAGCCGGCGGACCTCGTGGCCCCCACCTTCCCTGTCGATGGCGCTCTCCTCCTCCTCCTCCTCCTCCTTCTCCTCCTCCTCCTCCTTTTCCTCGTCCTCGTCCTCATCGTCATCGTCATCCTCCTCCTCCGCCTCGCCCCCCTCCTCCTCTTCTTCCTCGTCCTACCTCTGCCCCCCCCCCTCGTCCTTTCATCGTCGTCCTCCCAATGTCGTCCTCCCCCTCATCGGCCTCCATCATCGTCTTCCCATTGTCGTCCATCATCATCATCATCCCCCTCCTCCTCCCCCCTCCTCGCCCTCCTCCCCCCCCTCCCCCCCTCCTCGTCATCCTGCTCCTCCTCTTTCGTTTCTCCCCATTATCCTTGCATCCTCTCTTCTTCGCGGCCCCCCCTTCGCCCCATTGTTTACCCCCCCTGCCCCGCCCCCCCCCCCCCCTCCTTTCCCGAGGCAACTGCAACGCAATCCTTTGTTCCACTTTATGTTCCCCGCCTTCTCTGATCAAGGCAATTCGCCAGGGCAAAGCTGCTGGGCGGGATGGCGTGGATGCGCGGGGCTCGAGGTCCTTGCGGGCTCAGACGGCATGCGATAATCCGCCGCCGCGCTTGCGCGGCATTGGTGCGTTCAGTGAACGTGGTTTGGGTCGCGGGTGGGTC